AGAGAGAGAGAGAGAGAGAGAGAGAGAGAGAGAGAGAGAGAGAGAGAGAGAGAGAGCGCGGCGCGCGCGTGTGCCCAAGCCCACACGCCCACAGTCTCATGCAGGGATGTATGGTGACCAGAGGACAGCTGGACAGTTGACTTTTTCTACTGTCGCTTCGGACAGCTCAGGTCTCAGGCTCACACAGCGAACACTTCCCCCCTATCCTGCCAGCCCTACTGACTGTTTCTCTTACATTACTTCTCTTTCTCTCCCTGTAGCTACTTATCTCTTGATTTATTTTGTTTGTTTGTGTCTCAGAGACAGGGTTTCCATGTGTAGCTCTGGTTGTGACGACCGGGCTGGCCTTGAATTTAGAGATAAGCCTGTTTCTGCCTCCAGTGCTGGGATTGAGGGCGTGCACCACCACACCTGGCGGTCATTTTATTCTTAACTTGGGAGACGTTGACTGTTTCCTGTGGGCAGCGCCGAGAGAGTTGTCACAGTGGAACTGCCGTGAGGCCCCGTGTCTTCCTTCTGAGGTAGGTGTCTTCTGCTCTGGGTCTGTGCTCCTCGTCCTGTACACTGACAGGGAGAGTGGAGCCTCACTAACACATTTCACGGCAGTGTGCTCAGCCAGTGGTCTTCACTTGTTGAGCTGGGTTTTCCTTCACTGTCAAAGGACAGCATAGTACACATCTCTCGGCCAAGCGCTTCGATTGTGATCGCAATGTTTCCTGTGTGTTACTGGGAAACGTTGGTCTTGTGAGGTATTTCTGCTCTCTAGACTAGAAAGAAAGGCTTTGCACGGAAGGCACTGTTTCCCCATTCTGATTCTAGATTTTTGCAACATCCATTCCTACCTTTTCATTCCCACTTTATTACTTGATTTAGCAAACTGACCAGTTTATGCATTGTTTCCATGAATAAAGAACTTAGGATTTTGGTATTTATCCACAATCAAGTTTTATATTGATGCCTTTGTTTAAACCCACTTTTCTTCTTTCTCTCCCTGGACCAGTCTTTGTTAGCTATGTGTTTTATATTTTCAAGAATGCTACTTTATTGTGCATATAAACATGTATAATAACGGTTCCATACCTGACCTAAAATTTTCAACTCAAGAAATCAGATTTGTAACTTAAGTGTTAATTCAGCACCATAGTGAATCATGCACTAAGTTTCAGTTTCCTTCCCTGTGTAGCAGGAATCTTAAAAGTTCTTATTAATAAAAACAAACTTGGAGCCAGGTACTGGGGTCAACGCTGGAAGATCAGAGAAGCAGAACAAGCCACAGTTTCCTCACCTCGCCAATTCCTCAGCTGATCCTGGTTCCTCGGACTGGAAACCTCTGAGTCCTTATCCACATGGATCTCATTTGAACTGCTGCTAAAAGCCGAAAAGCTTAACCAGCTCTAGTTCCTGGTTCTCACGCCTTCTATACCTTTCTGGTTTCTGCCATCACTTCCTGGGATTAAAGGCACAGAGTCACCATGCTTGGCTGTTTCCAGTGTGGCCTTGAACTCACAGAGATCCAGGCAGATCTCTGCCTCTGGAATGCTAGGATTAAAGGCATGTGCTACCACTGCCTAACCTCTATGTTTAATATTGTGGCTGTTCTGTTCTCTTACCCCAGATAAGTTTATTAGAGTGCACAATATTTCAGGGAACACAATACCACCACATCCCGGTGACCCAGTTTCTGGCTCAGTTGTAAGTTTGTTCTTGTGCATCAAGACCGAGAGCCTGAAACAGTGACATATTTTAGTTTCCTTTACACTTAGGCTAATTGAAGTGATAATGGGTCAAAGCTCAAGAAACTGAATTGGGCATTACTTTGGACTAGTATGAATGTGTAATTATAGGTTATATGTGTAATTCTCTCTGCTTCATCTTGTTTAAAAACCAAATCAGAAACACAAAATATAATCATTGCAGAAAAGTAGATGATGGCAGGAGAAGGCATCTGTTAGGAAGTGACGTTTACATCCCTTCAGGTGATGGTCCCTTCTGGCTTGAGTCCTTCAAATGGCTTTTAGATCATATCATATATTTATATACATCCATAAATATATTTTTTATTACAAGTAATATAACACTTTTTGTTATATAGTTTTTACGAGCTTCATGTTGTTGAAGTTAGTTTGTGAAGGTAGTGGTAACTAACCTCTTCTTAAAGCTGGAAAGGTGGATGAATTAGGTTCTCAATGCCCATTTTAGATTACCCACAACTTGTAACTCCAGTTCCATGGGATCTGATGCCTCTGGCCTCTCTCAGCACCCCCGGATCCATGCACCCCCCCCCCCATCACATATACACACAATTAAGATGTGAAAAAATTGAAGACAGTGTAATACCTTTGTATATACTTTTTTCCCTGTGTTTTGTATAGATTTTGAAATATGTTACTAGAGTTAGGGTCAGAAAAAAATCACATTCTTTGGCACCAGGTTTGTTGAAGAAGGCTTTTAAGAGTTTACTAGTAGATAGGATGAGAAACTACACAACTGTTTTGTGAACTTTGTTGATAATCATTGTATCTGCAGCAGTATTTCAGGTGCACTATGAGCCTGTTTAGAAACACCTTTAGACCTGTAATTTTCACAACTTAGACCACTTGGTTGTTTTGTAGCAGTTTTCACAGAACTGGGTAGGAGGGAAGAAAGGTTTTTTTTTTTTTTTTAATTTGAGAGTCTTGAAAAGGATCTTTGAAGAGGAGTTAAACTACAATGCGGGGTAGGAGGTTGGGGTGGTGGTGGACAACTCTTGTTTGTAAGACAGAAATGTGATTCAACCCGGTTTGAAAAAAAGTAAGTGGATTATTTCTTTGTGTAAGAATTTCAAGCTGGGCCAAGGTGGCAGACACCTTTAATTTTGGGCTGTGGCTGGGGAGTGAAGAATGTGAGGCAGGCAGAGACAGGAGCTCGACCTTTTTTGTCTGGGGAGTCGTGGAGCTAAGAGGTGACTTTGGCTGCTCCTTCACTTCTCTGATCTTTCAGCATTTACTCTGATATCTGATTCTGGATTTTTATTGTTAAGACCAATTAGAGTTTGCACTACAGGTGTGTCTCATTGTCATGAAAAGCCTTAGGTTATTAAAACATTTTAAATGCCATATTCTATAGGTCTTTGAAGTGTTTGAAGACCATCTATTTAAAATATATGTTTGGCCGGGAGGTGGTGGCACATGCCTTTAATCCCAGCACTCGGGAGGCAGAGCCAGGTGGATCTCTTGAGTTGAGGCCAGCCTGGGCTACAGAGTGAGATCCAGGACAGGCATCAAAACTACACAGAGAAACCCTGTCTCAAAAAAAAAAAAAAAAAAAAATCAAGTAAAATAAAAATATCTTTGTATGATCTTGAAAACATGCCTAACATGACTAAGTTTGATTGTTACAGATGACTATTAACCTGTATTTCTTTATTATCCTAAATAGTTTTCAAGGACTAAAATTTACATTTTTGGTTGTGAGCCTAGCCTTTAATGGCTGAGCTATCGCTCCAGGCCAAAATTTACATTTTTAAATAAGCTGCATTGGTACAATATCTTAAACAAGAATAGAAACATATATACAGTATAACAAAAAAACCCTTAAATTTTTATCAATATACAAAACTCCATAACAATGTAAAATATTTGAGACTAGTGGTTGTTCAAAAGTAGACTCAATAATCCACCCTTTTATCTCATCATTTTTATATTCCCCCTTTTTGCCTTTAGAAAGAGATTCTCGAATTTGATGTCCTTTGTTTAGTTTTGTCCTCGACCATGAGCAACAACAACTTGTAACCAAACCCCTAAACAATGACAAATGTCCATAACCCATTGAATGACCAAAAACTACCCACTCCCACCTCTTGGGAAAGTGGTCATCATGTTCTGTAGACTGCTTCCTGTTGTCTGTGGGCGATGACATCTTTGGGAAACCCTGAGAAAACTGGGATAATGGTCAAGTCCTGGAAAAACTAGCCATAACATTCTTGTCCAGGAAAATATGTGTATCTACTGTACTATCAAAGTCCATAACATTAACAAAGAATAAAATTCAGAAAATTAATTTACCTTTCCATTGTGCATTTGTTGAGTTCTATAAGGGTACTTTCATAAAAGTATATGTTGTGTACTGAGGGAAAGGTGGGCAACCGGAAAAGACAGGAAGTGGAGTGTTGCCTCCCAAGTTGTTTACCTAGGAGGCTGCTGCAGCAAGGTTGCCCGGGAACCACCTGGAAAGGTGTTCACCACACTGCAAAAGAATGTTTGTTCTGTGGAAATTTCTACAAACCTCAGGCTGCTCTGGGAACTTTAATATTGTCTTCATTTGAGTTGTTCGCCTGTCCAGCAAGGGGAGTGGAACATACCAGTGTCATTTGGATGTGGAAATGGTCTAGGAATAAGTGAGAATTCATGAATTTTTCCTGGTTTAATTTTCCTGTCTAGATGGGCCAGTCTTCTCTGAAATGCAATCTAGTAGAAATGATACCAAAGATGATCGTGGTGTAAGTATTGGAAATTGAATTCTACCTATGTATCCATAACCAGTTTCTTGATTTTACTAGAACAAGGCTAGAGCTATTCTACTTGTGAATATCAAGATATTAATAAAATATACTTCTGCTTAGCATTATTAGCACTGCTTCATTTCTGGCTTGTAACCTTTGGTGAAATAGTACAAGTGATAAGCCAGGTTTTGATGATGTATGTAAACCTGGCATTTTGGCAGGCTGAGGGAAGGGAATTTTGTGAATTCAAAGTCAGTGTGGGCTCCATAAGGAGATCTTGTCTCAAAAACAACAACAAAAAATCCCAACAAATAATGGGCTGGAGAATTGGCTTAGAGGTTAAGAGCACTGGCTGCTCTCCTAGAGGACCTGGGTTTGGTTCCCAGCACCCTCGTGGTGGCTCACAACTATTCTATTCCAGTCTCAAGGGATCTGAAGCTCTATTCTATTCTCCAAGAACACTGAATGTACATGCAGACATACATGCAGGCAAACCCCCCATACATGTGAAATAAATAGAACATATTAAAAGAAATGAGAAAGAAACCTGACAGCTCCCACCTTAAAAAACAAGTACTTTTAGATGGATTTTAAAGATTCTTCACTCGCTGAACACAATTTCAGAGTTTCTTCCTTGAAGTTTTATTTGAATCTTAAAATATATTTTAGTTTTAAAATATAACATTGATTTTGGCCATTATGAGATGATCAGTATCTTCACATTTTCTTCTTGAGTGTGTATTTGATAAACTCCTGCTTAAGTGTGAGCTGGGTAGAGACGATTACTGCCATGCTTAGGTTCTCTGTTGAGTTAGTAAAAATACTTATTAGGCTAGGGAACAAGTGGTTCCTACACTGGTGTGAAAACCTGAGCCTGTTCTCCGGCTTTCTAGAATGTCATGGACCGCTTTTGGTGTAGGTGCCTACATGCTTTCTTCTATGCCTGATGCTCCCAGGAAAGGAGCTGTGAATCGAGCCACTTGACTGACTGCTGACTGTCAATCTGTTACAGAACTCAAAAGTGCCTGATTCTCCTGGTCATGGCTTTGTCCCTCCACCGGGTCCCCCAGTTCCTCCTGTGGACCCAAGGAGCCAGTTTATGGGAAGGGCCTGCCCCTTCCCCCCACCTTCTCCAAGAAACATCTATGGAGCTCCTCCAGATTATTATTCTCCACCTAACGAT